ATGGATCTGTAATTTCTCATGTCTTCTCCTTTTTTGTTCTTTTATTTGGAGGTCATGTCTAATTTACATCTACTTGCTTATTTATTGAGCTACCATACCTTTTTGTTGAAAATTGTTGGAAAATTACTAAATGAGATTTCAACCAAGAGTCTTGATTCTGCTTGCTGCTTTTGAGAAACCTTATGCACTCTTGTTTATTGCTATCACTTTCTTGCCTAAATTGCTTTCCAGGAATGTTCTTTTTGTACCTTGTTTAGTTATCTAAACTTGCTTTACTTGAATCTTTAAATTTGCTCTGTTAATACTACAAATGTCAAGATGAGCCATATGCATCTGTCATTATGTTACTTGGTGAAGGATCTTGGACAGTCAAGTCATTATGACTTCCAAGTTCCAAATCATTTAGACAATTTTAAAGTTCAACTTACATCGTACCAGCTGCCAATCCACAACAATGCTATTTATGCATAACGATTGGTGCCACTGATTTGTCTGGAAGGTGAAATTTGTAGAGTGTGGAAATAGTCATTTTTGGGTCCCCTAGTGTTGAGGGTTTAAGGAAAAAATGATCGGCCTTTTAATTAGGAAGCTAGTAGTCTAGTGATATTGACCTTGAGAACTGCGTATCTGCATATCCACTGAAAACCAGAGAAGAGATTATCGATAAATCTGGCCATTAAACAAGGTTAGCTAACCCGATAAAGTGCTTTTACATATGGAGGAATTTTGAAGTACTGCTCCACTGTAATTGAAAACACATTTAAGCTATGCAAACTCTAAATCTTACTAAATCGAAATGAAAAAACTATTCTTAGTGGGAAATTAGTGTACTAGTAGCCTGGAAGTGTAGGATTACTAGAAGCAATACATGACCAGTTGTACCAGTCCAAGACTAATTCAAGAGAATTGTATAAATTATTTTGCAACTTCATGGCATACAATTCTTTAAGGACATTGACTGAGTCCATGTTAACATCCTTTTTACTTATTAGACTTCGAGTGACGTGTTTTTCAATTATTTCTAGTTCACGGCTATTTTTTGTGATCTCAGGAAATATGCAATATACTGAAATTTTGCATTGTTTTGTATATGCATAATGGTCATGTAATGTCCCTTTTCTGGTCATTAGCTCTTTTAACTAGATTATTTATATGCGAGTAGAATTAGAATTCTATTGAGTCCTGGGACTCTCTATAAAGAATTGTAATATTTCCAATTGACAACAGAGAGAAGTATTCCACAATTTCTAGCAATTTTGTTTTTTCTTTATCTGCGTGATGCATTTCTAACCCTTGCGCGATGCTTTGAGCCTTTACTTCTTTTTCTATTTGTCATCTTTTATTTTTTTAATTACATAATCGAGAATTGTTTCTAGACCTTCTAATTTATTTTTTGGTCCTTGACACAATTGAAATATCTAGCAATCAATTTTTAATCAAACACTGGATACTGTTCATTTTCTCAAAAATGGCCATTATATTTCTCTCTCTTTGTTTTATAGGTTAAATCCCAATTTGTTCTGCATCACTCTTGAATATATAGACAGCTTGACAACTGTATTTAGGCCTGAAACTTCACTCTGTCACACACGTTTCTATAATGAAGATTTATATGGTCGATAAGAATAATTATTCTTACTTATTAGATTTATTGGACTTGTGTGTGATTTAATTGTGCTGTTGATGAAGTTGCTTCAAGAAGACAGTAAAAATTTACTATCTGATATTATCTGACTGCATGCTTTACGACATTAATTTGCCGATTCGCTATGTTGAATGTTACTATTCCAACTATCATTTAAGTTGCTATTAAGATAATTGTGAGCAACTTCTTTGTCGATGAAACAGGTAGGACCTACTCCACCTTTAATCAAGGCTGATGTTCCATGGTCAGCTCGGAGGGGGACTCTTTCTGAGGAGGAGCGTGTCTTGAAAACAGTGAAGGGGTAATTTTCTGTGTAATGCATTTGATGTTTGTAAATGCTGTCCTCAATATCTGATTAACTTCTTTTGTGGCTAATTTATTGAACCATAAACACATTCGAATGTTAAATGGATAATTCGTTTATTAGTTTGAATCTTGAATTGTCAACCTGTATGTTTCTTCTATGTTTGCTTGGCACTGCTATTATTGTGATTGAGTACCACCGGCCATCATTTTTATTATATCCGGATTCTTTTAGTTGACAAAAAGTTTATGATCTTCAACTAGTACTATGCTCCCGTTTGGCAGTCATTATTCGAAATTTTAATGGTTGGAATAGTGGTGTTTTTATTTTATTTTATCTTTTCGAAGAATGTGGTTAAAAATGAAGAAAAAGTTTTGGGATTACATGTAATATTGTTTTATTGGAGAATGTGTGATTGATAAGAAGAGAAAGAAAAATGAATTATAATTTTAATGGGGCCAAATAGGGGCTATATATGGTTACACAGTAGCTTTTGCTAATACAATGAAGACGCTTATTTCTTGTTCAGATATCCAAGCTAGAATCACATAGTGATGACGATGTATATGGATGTTTGTTTTGCATCTGTTATTCTAGTTTTAGCATTACTTCATGGTTTACTTTTTGTATAAAACATGTTATGCTGATCAATACATTCTTGTTTCAGCATACTGAACAAGCTGACTCCTGAGAAATTTGATCTTCTAAAGGGTCAACTTATTGAATCTGGGATCACAACGCCTGATATTTTGAAGGTTTGAAAAACTTCCTAATTATATGTGATTCTTTGTCTTGATTTACTTGTTGAATAATTATGGTGGTACTTGTGTTTTTTTCCCCCCTCCTTCAGGGAGTTATCTCTCTGATATTTGAGAAGGCTGTGCTGGAGCCAACATTTTGTCCAATGTATGCACAACTATGTTCTGATCTGAATGAGAAGCTTCCTCCCTTCCCATCTGATGAGCCTGGTGGAAAAGAAATCACATTTAAGAGAGTTCTTCTGAATATCTGTCAGGAGGCATTTGAAGGTGCTGACAAATTGCGGGCAGAGCTCAGGCAGATGACTGCCCCTGAGCAAGAGTTGGAAAGAAGAGATAAAGAAAGGTTGGTCAAACTCCGCACTCTCGGGAACATTCGCCTGATAGGAGAGCTTTTGAAGCAAAAGATGGTTCCAGAGAAGATTGTCCACCACATTGTTCAGGTCCTTGATTGATCTCTCTCTCCTTTTCTCTCTCTCATCCTAGCATCTTGATTTGTCTTTATTATTTTTAAGATGGTCTTACAACATGGTTTTGCAAGACAGGAACTCATAGGACCTGATACGAAGAGTTGTCCAGCTGAGGAGAATGTTGAAGCCATATGCCAGTTCTTTATCACCATTGGGAAACAGCTTGATGAGAACCAAAAATCTAGGCGTATCAACGATATGTATTTTGGTCGGTTGAAGGAAGTGTCAGCAAACCCGCAGCTAGCTCTACGACTGAGGTTTATGATTCGTGATGTTCTTGATTTGCGTTCAAATAATTGGGTTCCCAGACGGGAAGAGGTGATCCCTCTTAACCTATTTGATGTCTTTCTATGAGGTTTTCGTTGCAAACTTTATGATGTTGTTTTGTAATTTTCCAGGTGAGGGCCAAAACTATCACTGAGATTCACTCAGAAGCAGAGAAGAATCTTAGGTTGCGCCCAGGAGTTACTGCTAGCATTAGAAATAACAGAAACATTGCTTCTGGGGCTCAAGGGAGTATTAGTCCTGGTGGCTTGCCTATTAGTCGCCCTGGTGCAGGTGGCATGATGCCTGGAATGCCAGGGACGAGGAAGATGCCTGGTATGCCTGGACTTGATAATGACAGCTGGGAAGTTTCTAGGTCCCGATCAATGCCAAGAGGCGATAGTTCAACAGTTCAGCCTGCTGGGCGTGTCCAACCACCATTGATACAATCACCATCCCCGAACCAGCGATTTCTGCCTCAGGGTAGTGGTGGTTTCTCAAGTGATAGACCTAGTGCCCTCCTACAGGGTAGTGGTGCACCTCTTGTTCGTCCTGCTAAATATGGAGAATATGCTGTGGGCCCTGGATTACAAGTCCCTGCCAATAGTAGACCCGCGCCAACATCATCCGCTGCACCAGTAACTGGCAAACCTACAGCTCCAGCTGCAATAAAGAATCCAAACGAACTTAGGAGAAAAACAATTTCGCTTCTGGATGAATATTTTAGCGTCAGAATTTTGGATGAAGCATTACAATGCATTGAGGAACTGAAGGCCCCGGCTTATCATCCTGAAATTGTCAAGGAGTCCATTTCCCTTGGGTTGGAGAAAAGTCCACCTTGTGTAGAGCTGGTTGCTAAGCTTCTAGAGTACTTGTATACTAAGAAAGTTGTTACTGCTAATGACTTGGTCACTGGATGCCTCCTCTATGCCTCACTGTTGGATGATCTTGCAATTGATATACCAAAAGCACCGGCCAATTTTGGAGAGATAGTCGGGAAATTAGTCTTGGTTGGTGGGCTCGACTTCAAGTTGGTGAGGGAGATTCTGAAAAAGGTGGGTGATGAATTTTTCCGGAAAGCCGTATTCACATCCATAATGAGGATTGTTAGCTCTAATCCTCCTGGAAAAGGGGTGATAGATTCACAAGCATCTGATATTGAGGCCTGTGAAAGCCTAATTTAGGGCTTACTCATTGCAGGAGTCATCTGTAACCTCACAGGAAATGTGCCCTCTTTCAATTACCATTTCTTCTCATTATTCCCATCCAAGCCGATGAGTGATTGTGGTGAAAGTAATGAGGATGCGAAGCTGTGAAGAACAGGTGATATTATGTGGACTCTGTATAATTTTCTTGAGGTCATAGTACTGTCATTGAAGATATAACAACATAAAGATTTTGGTTTGCGAGTGGCTGATCACTGGCCATAGTTTGCTGGAGAGATGAACCATGTTGTTCTGTATTGATTAGATTTTATTTACTTAATTTGTCGTTTTATTAATTGAAGTTTTGACAGAAGTATAAACTCATAATGCTGAGTGTGCACAATTTTAAAGGAGAATCCTATGTTGTGTTAATTTTTGTTCCAATCTATAGTCATTTTCTTGGGATTATGCATGTTTTGCTGTTTAACCTTCACGAGTTTGGGCGTAGGCGCGTAGCTGCAGTTTGTGAAGATGGTTTGCAGCTACCGTCGCCAACCTTGGACCTTAATTGCAATTTCGTCCCCAATTTATTTTATTTTATTTGATTATTATTATTTTTTTGTGTGTCACAAATCAAAACTTAAACTTTGAATTAATTAGCAGGGTTTCTTTGGTTTCTGTCCCCTGTTCTGTCAAGTCAGGCATGCTTGCGGGCAAATTTAGTCATTTTTTGATCTTCATTTCTTGAAATTTATTTTTAATCACACAGTATTTATAAATTTTATCAATTTTTAATTACATATTTTATTTATTTTTATTAAAATTTATTAAATTTACAATTTTTATCATAACCCAAGAGGGGCTTAATAATAAGAGCAAAAGATCAAATCGCTTTTTCACCTCCAAGAGCTAATCTTCAATGAAAAGTAACGTTGCTTTTGGAAAGAGTCGGACGATGTAACATTGATATTTATGGGGAACAGAAGTTTTGGGAGTTGGAAGTGATCTATCGTCTTCTTGCTTGACTTGTCCTTCAAACAGTAAAGATCGATCGTCTGCTTGCTTGACTTGTCCTCGAAACATAAGTACATATTCCAACTTTTCAAAATCCAAGCCTGGATATTTAAGAATCAGAGATACCAATCGAAAAGTTGCGTAGAGAAGTAAAAAAAGAACAAAGAAAAACCCATAAAATTATAAGGAAGATGGGAAGCAGAGGGTTGGATTTGAAGGGGATACCATCAGTGGACATCATGACTGAACTTCTTCACCGCATGAAGCGCGCTTCAAAGTCCGACAATCGCCTTATGCTCATTGGTACCGTACGATACTAATCGCCACTGTATACTTGTATAGTGTAATATGTATGAGTTGCCTTTTCATTCCTTCTCTTTTTTCTTTTCTCTCTCTCTCTTCCACACCATCAATATGTACACAATCATATAGAAATAGCATTACTAATGCGTATATACTTCTCCTGTCAGACTTATGTTTTGATTAAATTTTTATGGGTTTTTCTCCCGCCATTTTTGTGTAAAGTTGCGAACTTTCACCAAGAGTATTGATATATCAAGAATTTGAATTATTAGACATTGTCAATTAAAGTACATTAGTTGGGTATGGTTTTGAAGTGTAGAAATGTCACAAATTTGAACTTGCAAATTATGGTCCCTTTGTCATTGCTAATTTTATTCATTTACTACGAATTTTTAAACCCTTGTTCTAATGATTCGTTAACAGGTTCTACGATCACCAATGGCTGAAAGTACGCTGATTATTATTTTGTAATATTAGAAAGTCTCATTGCACTTTGTTTTAGTATGTATATGTTTACTTATTCATCGTGCTGGAGAACATGGCAATAAAACTAGATTTGGTGGTGTTTAAGAAAATGGGACTAATTGCGTCGGTAGTTGTATGAATAAAAAATTTGATTTGTGACAGGGCCATCGGGTTCGGGAAGAGGTACTCAATCCCCCATCAACGATGAGTACTGTCTGTGCCATTTGGCCACTGATGATATGTTGAGAGCTGCTTTTGCAGCTAATACTCTGGTAGCCAAAAAGGATGAAGAAGCTATAGTTAAGGTAGAAATCTACTCCCTTGATATTAACACTGGATGAAACTGTTAAGATATGTCCCCTTCAGATTTTGCTGTTTTGATTGATTATTTTGTAAATGATAATTTTTCTTCTTTAGGGGAAACTTGTTCTTGATGAGGAAGTTGCTGGTTTAATTGATGAAGACTTGAAGAAACCTTCTTGTCAGAAGGGATTCATTCTTGATGGTTTCCTGAAGACAGTGATTCAGGCGGAAAAGGTTATACACCAGTTGACGTGCTGTGTGAATATGTACTTGATAAATAATTTCGCCAGGTTTATATTTCCTCATCATTTTAATTCTTGCAGCTTGACGATATGCTGCAGAGTCAGGGAACTGACATCGATAATGTGATCAGCTTTGCAACTGATGATGACATGTCGAAGAAGATGATTACTGGTGTTGATTATGTAAGTTAACCTGGTGCTATTATGCCAGATTCTATTACAAATGTTAACAATAGTGAGCTGCTTCTTCTGTCCATGAAACAGGGAGGGCCTACTCCCTCTTTAATCAAGGAAGAGGTGCTCCATTCTGCTTGGAGGGGGACTCTTCCTGAGAAGGAGCGTGTCCTAAGAACAGTGAAACGGTAATTTTCCCAGTGTCGGTCTTCATTTAATGTGTGTTGTTCGGTAACTCAAACATATTTAAATATGCAATATGTTATTCTCGAAACCACAGACATGGACACACAGGGATACTGATTTATAATTTTTAAAATTATACATTTATACAATTTCTTTTCTTATAAATATTTTTCTGAAAAGATAAATACTTTTTTAGTTTAGGGTTTTGCCCATTTTAGATCTATTGAATCAGAGGAGTGATTTAAGATATCTTTGGGTTAAATTATAAATTACTACAGAAAGAGCAAGAAAATGCATACAGTAGAAATAAAACAAATACATCATGTTTTTCTCACATTATTGTCATTTTTTCTCACTAACTTTTGATAATTAAATGTTTTAACTAATTTTATGTTCCAAAATTTACAGCATGTGGCTTTTTATGCCTTGACGTGTAGAGACAGTTGTCCTTGTGACATGCCACATATGTGTTGGAAATGTTTCTGAGGCGAGTTCAAGAAGTGTCCCTCGAGTATTGGAAATTTAAAGTATATAAAAATTACGGCAGTGTCGACGTTGGATTCTTGAATTAACAACCTTAGCAGGAGATTCTCTGCTTTGTAGCTGCTATTATTGCAATTGAGTTCCACCACCATCCCTTTTTTGTATTACTTGTATCCAAATTCTTTTTGATGTCTGTAAGTTCATGATCCGCCTCAATCACTATATGTTGGTGACAATCTAGCTTCTGCACACAATGAAGATAATAATTTCCTATCCGGATGTCCTAGCTAGGATCCGATGGTGGAGATGCTGTTGATGGTTGTTGGTTTTATATCTATTTCTAGTTTTAGGATTATTTACTGACATACTTCCTATGCTAACGAATGATTCTGTCCAATACATTCTTGTTGCAGCATACTGAACAAGAAGACTCCTGAGAAATTTGATCTTCTCAAGAGTCGACTTGTCGAATCTGGGATCACAAACTCGTGTCTTTATGCTGGGATTTTGATTCTTCTTTATGTCTTCATATACTCGTAGCCTAATTATGCTTGTACTTCTGCTGTTTTATTTGTCGTGCAGGGAGTTGTCTCTTTGATATCTGACAAGGCTGTGCTGGAGCCAACATTTTGTCCGATGTATGCACAACTATGTTCTGATCTGAATGAGATGCTTCCTCCCTTCCCATCTGATTAGCCTGGTGGAAAAGAAATCACATTTAAGAGAGTTCTTCTGAATATCTGTCAGGAGGCATTTGAAGATGCTGACAAATTGCGGGCAGAGCTCAGGCAGATGACTGCCCCTGAGCAAGAGTTGGAAAGAAGAGATAAAGAAAGGTTGTTCAAACTCCGTACTCTCGGGAACATTCACCTGATAGGAGAGCTTTTGAAGCAAAAGATGGTTCCGGAGAAGATTGTCCACCACATTGTTCAGGTCCTTGATTGATCTTTCTCTCCTTTTCTCTCTCTCATCCTAGCATCTTGATTTGTCTTTATTATTTTTAAGATGGTCTTACAGCATGGTTTTACAAGACAGGAACTCATAGGACCTGATACGAAGAGTTGTCCAGCTGAGGAGAATGTTGAAGCCATATGCCTGTTCTTTGTCATCATTGGGAACAGCTTGATGAGAACTGAAAATCAAGGCTAATTAATGATAATTATTTCGGTCGTTTGAAGGAAGTGTCAGCAAACCCTCAGCTAGCTCCACGACTGAGGTTTATGATTCGTGATGTTGTTCATTTGCATTCAAATAATTGGGTTCCCAGACTGGAAGAGGTGGATCCCTCCTAGCCTATTTAATTTCTTTCTACGATGTTTTCCTTTGCAAACTTTATGACATTGTTATGTGATTTTCCAGGTGAAAGCCAAAACCATCACTGAGATCCTCGCAGAAGCTGAGAAGTATATTGTATCACAGCCAGGTGCTACTGCTAGCATCAGGAATAATGGGGGCATTGATTCTGGTCCTGGTGGCTTGCCTATTAATTCACTTACCACAGTGGGTATGTTACCTGGGATGCCCGGAATTGATAATTACTGTGAAGTTCCTAGGTCCCTGTCAATGCCAATAGCTGATGGTTCAACAGTTCAACCTACTGGGCATTTCCAACCTCCATCGATAAAATCACTGTCCTTGAACCAGATACTTCTGCCTCAGGGTAGTGGTGGTTTCATGAGGAATAGTGGTGCCCTTCCTGCTAATGGCATTGGTTGCTATGGAGATTATGCTGTAGGCCCTGGATCGCAAGTTCCCGCCCCAAGTAGAATGGCATCAACTGTACCAGTGGCTCCACTTATAATAAAGAAGCCGGATGCACTCAGAAGAAAAACAATCTCACTTCTGGAGGGATATTTTTGTGTCAGACTTTTGGATGAAGTTTTACAATGCATCAAGGAGCTGGAGTGTTACAATCCAATTTTTATAGTAAAAAATTCAAATATTGACTAGTCAAAGTCAAAGTCAATCAAGAACTAAAATGAAATTAAATATTTTATTTGGGTTATTTTGCAATTGGCAAAATATAAATGTTGAATTGGATATATTTAAAAGTTTGGAATATATATATATATATACTTTTGGAAGTTAAAGGATTAAAGTTACTAAAAAGTGAAGTTAAGGACTTAGTTTGCAATTATGGGTTAGTGGACAAATAAATTCAACCATTTGATCCAATTTTCACGCTATTTCACACACACATAGAGTACCCTACAGGAAGAAGCAGAGACCGAGAAAGAAGGAGAAAAAGAGGAAAAGAAGAAGGGAAAAAGGAAAAGAAAAAGGAAAAGAAGAAGGGAAAAAGAAGAGGAAAGGAGGTAAGGTTGATATCTTCAAGTTGGGTTGAAATTTTTCATTTGTTTTAGGTGATAAAGTATGAATTATGTTAAAAATTTTAGGGTTTTAACTTGTTGAATAATATGTCGAATTTTAGGGGTATTTGCACGAATTGGAGCTCAAGTGTGGGGATTTATTCATTTCAAATTTTCAGCAAGGTATGGAGATATCAAATTTTTGGGAAAACCCTAGAATCCGATTTTGGGGATTTTAATTAATTAATTGTGAAGTGATTATGTAAATGAAATATTTCACTTGGGAATTGATTTTATGGAACAAATGTATATTATGTGGGTGGAATTGTG